AACTACATGCTCACCAGTGACTGTGGGCATTTTTGCACATTTGTGCTGTAAAACCAACGGAGAGTTAATGATGGATATTACTACAACCATTCGCAGAACTTTTAATATATTCTGTTTTTTAAGTTATGATAACGCAGCTGTCCAGTCGGGAGTATTTTTTTTTCTTTCCCACTCGTAGAGTATGGTGGTGAGCCTTATTCCAATAGTTGGAGTGGGACAGTTCTTGAGTCTCTTGCATCTATGCCTACTCTACTCCTTATATGCCTTTGAATACAAGTGGTTCAATATGGGTAAGTTAGTGTCATTTCAGCGCCGTCCTTCCCTTCCGCATAGTTGTCATCATTTGTTAGATTCCAAAGGGTAATGTAAAATTCAAATGGCTGTAGGCGGGATCACACATACATCTATCCGCCCTGAGCAGGGCCAAGAGAGGGCGCCATTTTCGTAGCAACGATGGCTCCATTGGTGGGAACTGCATGTCACTGGTTCAGGAAAGGTCTCTTCCATTTAAGGATTATATCGGGAGATGCACATTGTCTGTTCCTCTGTTTATGGATAATAATGATAGAGAACTGCTGAAGGTAAAGTTTCTACCAGAATCAAAACACATTTGCAACTTAAGCCAACATGTGAATTACGAAATGCGTCCCATCACTTTGAATGTCACTGTTTCCTGGCAGGTTGGAAGGTCCACCGACGTCTAGCCATCATTGAATTTAACTGGCCGTACTTCTTTGGGTTCGGTCTCCCACTAGCTCTGCTCACGTCCTTGCCATCGTCCTACCTCATCCGTGGGTGTGTCTTTTCAATACTCTTCCCGTTGTTCATTATCAGCGGCAACGAGGCAGCCACCCCCACCCAACCGTGGTGAGTTATCCCTCAAATCCCCAAACCCATCTCTTTAGCATCGATAAATTTAACCCTAAAAGGTCCAGGTTTTCCAGTGGGCAGAAATCACGAAGATCCTACATGTAGCTGTCTAATGCTTGATTTTAAAACTTGGGCAGCGTTTTGAAACAGTTATTTATATGATGTAGGTTTCGTTGTTTAGGTCATTGATAGTTGACGCTGTCACATGCGCGCACTCCATTTGGCACCTCCTTGGGAAATGTTAACTCTTTTTTGGCTAACCCATCTTGGAAAATTGGGCAAGAGAAATATGCATCCTATTTGCATAACATTGTATCAAAATTATTTCAGGACATTACTGGAAAAAATTCCTTAGGGTTTGTTTGGCAAGGAAAAAAACGTTGCGGGGGGTTGGATTTTACTGGCTTTTTAGGGTTGAATAGTCCAATTGAAAAGTCAGTAAGACCTGGCTTGGAGATTGAGTTCAATATATCATATTGTGTTGAGCACTGAATGTAAGCAGTAAATGCACATGTCATTTTTGGTGTTTATAGTTGAAGACAGAGCATCCATCGATTTCCTAATGGTCCAGCAAAACGGAAGCTCAGTTGAAACTACATCCTTCAAGAGCATGCCACAAGACCATCTCTCCTATCATTAAATCGCATTCACTAATGACTGAGTTATTTCTAGGCTCTAAAAATAACATTTCAGCTGCCTTTTATTTTTTTTCTAACAATTTGCAGCAGTTTTCCCCTTCACATCTTCTCACTGGTCGTCGAGATCGCCAACAAGATGTTCCACAGGACTGTTAAGAGGCCAACAGCTGGCCGCTAAACAAGGGAGGACGGAGTGCCCTACTTGGTCATCAGCTAAGGTTGCCACTCAATCATATCGCCAGCTAATACACTGACCCGCACTGAGTCCTGGTGGCTAGCTTGCCTAGCAGAAATTTGAATGGACTGAGCTGAGCTTTTTATGGCATTGCTGCCCCCGGATATGCAGTGAGGTGCCACCATATGCCACCACGTAAATAGTGCCATGTTATTTGACGAATCTGACTTACTAATCCAGGGACAAAAAGTACCGAAGATAATGGTACATTGACAGTTAAGGCAGTTTAAGCTTGTCTTCTGAGCTTTTGAAGTTGAAAGTGAGTAACTCTGAGATTTGGCGAGTTTATGTGAGAACCTGATGTCAACTAAAAAGATGTTTTGTGTGGCTTCCGTAGTTCCATCAGAGAGGGCGTTCTTTTTCATATCAGTGACATGGAATGCTCACGACATTAATTCATGTCTGGCCATGCAGAACTACTGTAAATCACCGCCTCAAAGGTCTTTGCACATGCCAGAGAAAGAGAAATATTTATGGCTGAGCCTAAGAAATACACAAGAATAAGTATGGAATTGTACTTCAGGGAGGTTTAAATTTGGCTGGCCTCTGCCAGCATGATTTATTGAGCACTCTAGCCTCATTGCTTTTAGAGAGCTTATGGGAAAAGATTCACCGAGCTTGCTCAGGTGGGACTGGAACCCACGATCCCTGCTGGCTAGTGCATATATCATTACCACTCTATCAACTGGCTTGTCAGGGTCAGCTGGCCAATTTGGAATCCTGTGTAGCAGTTGAACCCCAAATCACTGACTGCTTATGTAATTCTGCACTCGCATATTCTCTCTGCAAGGTAGTTTGGTCGCAGTTCATTTCTCTCACAATGTTGGTTTGTCGAACACCGACAGTGCTTGAAACTTCTGAGAAACATTTCCTAGAAGAAGCTGTAGGTATTTTTCTGAATCTGGTCATTCTTATGTTTTCCCTACACAACAGACATCTGACAGATTCAGGACTGTTAAGTCGGTGTTTGTAATTGTAGATTGTAATATTTTTGCAATCTTTTTTATCCCCATGCACTGATTCTTGCCAGGATTTATGTATTAAAAAACTTTAAAACCATTTGCAGCAGTCAAGCGTTTGGCTTGGGAAATGCAGTTTATTAGCCTGTGAAGTTTAATCAATTCGCGCCGGTGGCAGTTATCAATGTGATGATGCTGGGACGGGATTGTTATCATTTTTTTCCGTTTTCAAAATTCTTTAAAAATTCATATCTTCATTTACTGGACACTTATACCCACACGAAGGACTGTCTGGTTCTACTCTAATCTGACAGACAACACCTATTGATGCTGGAGTATTTCAGCCAGGTCTGCCGCCTTGTAAAAAGAGCCCAAATTGTGTGATGTTACGTAATTTTCTTTTGTTCACGAAACTGGCACAGTGCGCTGCTGACTTCTTTTCAGTAGGGGCCAGATAACCGTGCAGCAGTACTGTGTGGCTCATCGCTGTGGCGGTGGAGCACTTTTGTCCCCGGTGGTAATCCGCTCGTGCTGAATGCCCCAAATTGTGGTATACTGTTTCAAAACAAGGTTGGATTATCTCCACTATTGAGAGTGAAAAATTGTAGGTAAATCCCAGCAGCCTGGTCGTTTGTCACAAGGCCCAGTGCCCTTTGTCCAATTTCAGAGACTCCGGCTACGCGTATAAAGAATACGTGTCCGAAACCGGAATCCCCAGTGGCAAGTGGTTAATATTCATCAGTTGTCACTGGTCATTAAGTGGTTTTCAGCTGAACACTTAAATTTGCTGATTCTAACTTAGCATCGTCATGACAACAGACTGTTGCTATAACAGCTGTGGGCTTATTTACACAGGCAAACAGTAACCAGGTTTTCCATCGTCATGAAGAATCCTTTGGAAGAAAGTTGTCATTGAAAAGTGGAGGAAAAGGGTGTCCTGGAATCCTTTTATCAAAGGAAAAAAGTCTTTGAAAAGTTGTGGAAATCAAGATCATGCAAGGGTTATTTTTGATGGGCCACTGCTGATGTTATAATGGAATAATGATAGGCTGTCCTTGTGAGTCTGTCGTCATAGTTATGGCAGTCTTTCAGTTCACAATACCCAACAACGTTTCTCTTTAAAAGGATGTCAGATATCCCAGAAATTGTCACATTTTCATCCTGCAAAGCCCTGGAAAAGTCGTGGAATTTCTGTGGGAACCCACATTTCCGTGGTTCATAAGAATGCACAGTCGCAGTGCAGTATCTTTGAAAAATGTTGCAGCCATTTAGGCAGCCATTTATTGTACTACTGTGCAATATGTCCACTCTCAATGTCGTAACGGGGAGGGGGTTGGGTGTCACATGCCCGCATAGGAAACCCCTGGGTTCACTTTTAACTCTGTCACTGCCTGTCTGTGTGAATGAGCTTTAATTATAACAGAGCAAAGATAAATCAATGCATTTTAAAAAATTGCATCTTACAAAAAGGTAATGCATTTATAAAGAGTTACAACACAGGTAACTTCTAACAGATGGATAGACTAGCATATAGGCAAATGTACCACCAAGATTTTCTTTGACCTTGTGCCCTTTTTCTAATTTATTTTGTCATCTGCGTTTATGATTCTTATTGTCAGAATAATGGTTTCAATTGGACCAGATACAGTGCTATGCAATATTTAGATGGTGTCACTTTGTATGTATATTGTTTGGAGAGTAGACTTATCTGCAATCATTCTTCTTACGCATTGATTCTAAAATATCAATTGTAAAGGAGTTCCTTTTAATTGTACGAACATTTCAGGTTATGTTTCTTTGATGTACAGATTTTCCTAGTTTGCCAAATGGCATGTTATTAAGCCAACGAGATTCTGCAAAGTGTTGCAAATGCATTTACATTTATAAGAATTGCCCGGACAAAGTTGCTGCATCTTTTAGATGGTGTGAGCAAAGGGAAGAGTTTAAATTCCGCTTGTTTTCACATAATCATTAGCATGAACTTGCAGGAGATCGTTTGGACATGCATAAATAATATGCATGGTTTGTTTCAAGAGCTGGAATAGGGCTTGGCTTGCGGTAAATGGCAGTTTCATAATTAGAGATTAATCATTGTCCCTCCAAACAATAAATAGAAACATCTCAGTACATTCTGAAATGAATATGTCTCCAAGGTTGGTTTTTGGAAACTATCACACACAAGACCTGACTGGTCATCTGTGTGTTGATGACCTTCAATGCCTTTACAGTCTGGGGCTGTCTTCACAATTATTTTGTAAATGTTGAAAATTTTGTGACGGAGAGAAAGGTTTAGGTTTGGTCGTTACTCATAAATTTATGCAATGTTAATGTACGGTTAACTTCAATAAGGTTGGAGTTTTGAAATGTGTTGTTTTAAATCAGGATTTTACATGTAAATAGGTGTAATTGTGATATTTATTTGGAAGAATACAAGCTGTTTTCACGTGATAGTAGAATTGGTCTGTTAAGCTGTCTTGATTTCGTCTGGTTTGATTTTCATGAAATGTGAATAAGGAGAGGATGGAGGATGTTTCGATCACACTGACCGCCCGCTAGTCTAACTATGGGGGTACAGGAATGAAGAGCCAGAAATGAGGAGGGTCGGGGCGAGGGAAGCCCTGTCAGAATCCCAACTCCGTGGCACTCAGCAGTAAAACCAAGTCAATGGGACAAGGCTGCAGTCGCTAGCAGCATGTGACTGTGTCCGCATGCGTACCTGTTCTTTTTATTTAGCTTATTAGACAAACAAGTTCGGCGGAAAAATGTAATTCGCCAGTGCTTAATACCATTATGTCAACTCGGCAAAAAATTCTTTGAAAAGAAAGATGAGGATATAAGCTTTAATTTGATGTGTGTCTTGAATGCTTTGGAAACTTGTATTAATTCTTTCTTTGTTTAAGAGGGCACACTTCCGATCTGTGAAGGGTAAGCACATATCATTGTCTGTGGTCTTCAACCTTAAAGGGTAGCTGTAATCAGTTTGTTTTAACACAAGCCTTCAAAATGCACCTTTGTGTCTCAGTTAACATTATATTTAACTTTTGTTTCACTATTTAATTGGGTATTTTCAAAGGGTATTGCTGCCTTTTTGGTTTATGCTAATGTATTTCCATATTCATGAGTAAAACTATGATGTCATCCCGGGAAGAATGCCTAAATGTTCATTGGTTTGTACACAAAAAAATCATACAGTTTTGTAAATTTTGCAGGACCAATTTTCTTCTTTGCTAATCCATTGCTGTTTATAGGCATAGCAATAAGTAAGACCAATGCTTTTCCCAGAAATGTTTTCGATGGTAGAGTAAATTCTGGGTTTACCATTTTAAGACGAAAACCTACGCAATGAACTATGTCTTCCCTTAATGACATCACAGCAACAGCGGCCTCAGTTGTCCAGGAAAGCATGGGTGTGTTTAAGCAAGGGCTCTTCTTAGTGCCGTTAAACCATGGAGAAATAAAACACATGTGTTTTATTTCTCCATGCGTTAACCAAACGGGAGTGTAAAAGAGCGTTCACACATATACATTGAAGAAGAGTACAAAGTTGCAGAAAAATTATCCGAGACAAATTCATTGCGGCTACCCTTAACCTAGGGGTACAGTCCACTAATTCAAGCCCCATTGAAAACAGTTTAAAATCAGCACTGTTCAGGGCCC